TGCAAAAAATATTTTATCTTAATATTTTATTTCCTGTAGATGTAAGTCATAATAATTTGATAGCATTTCAAAATAATCAAATACTTATTCCTTAAATAACGCATCTCCTTTGACAGCCAGGGTGACCACCTCCAAACCAACAAAATGTGGGACAAGTAGTTTTGTGTGGGACAATGAGGGACAGTAACAGGCATATATCTGTCCTTCTACCCTACAACCAACAAAAACTCTATAGTAGCCAAGACATAACCTAAACCTGAAAAGTACACACATGTGGCAATGTAACATAATTATTGATGCATTATCATAATTCTTCCACATTTAACACAAAATAAGCAGATAAGGCATAACAAAAATATTACCTGATGTCAAATTCAACAATTTCAATGTAAATAGGTCTCTGTAAAACCAACAACTCCTGTGGATTATATGGCCATCTGTGACGAAAACATTAAAATAAAAAGTAGAAATAACCCAGCGCCACTAAACAGTTTTGCATCACAATACAGGAGGTGGCATGCCAACATTCTTGGGACTATGATTAGCACGTTTCTGAAACACATTAGTAGCAGAATGAGTGCCATGAATATATTCTACATCGTTGTAGAATTCTATACAGCTATGCGCAAAGTGAACCTTGACACGAATCTCTCTCGAGATTTTCTGACCGATATGAATGTGCATATTGCACTGCATGTTAAACACTGGTAACGTCTTCTGCAGTAATTCCATTTAACTCAGTGTCATTTGGTTTGCAGATTTCTGTGTGCAAGACTCACGTGAGTCGTGTCGTTTCCCATTAGAGTCCCATGCCCGACAGAAAAGCAGTTTTTACACCAAGAATGCAGAATGCTGTTTTAGAAGCTTCATCCACCGGTCTCAGCCAAAAACTTTTTTTTTCGTCACCCTACACACGGGCGCCTTCACAATATCAAAACACGTGCGCGCTCTACAATTTCAGACGGCAAAGTTTGTGCTACAGTTTGATTTACAGACCACTTCACTACCGCCGTATCCAGGAAGTGACCTATCATTGCTATGGACTGCTCTGATAGACTGCCCATAGACGGCCTGGTACATTCAATAGTTTAATTTCAGTTAAGTAATGTAGAATGAAAAAGTGGGACAAAATCTTTAATTTGCCTGGCGTGGGACAAAGGCTAAAATCGCTGTATAATACAACGTAAAGGGACAGGTGGTCACTCTAGTGACAGCTGCAACACTGTCTATGTTCCCAAAAACTAACTGCAATGAATGAGATAAAAAAATCTAGCTTGAGATTTATATCCTCTTGTCATTTTTGCATAACATAAGAGAGCCCCTCGAAGTACCTTTTACAGAAGGTCAATTTTACATTATCTATTTCTTACTTTTACCTTAGTAGGTCTTTGAACAGGTAACTTTACTTGTACATAAATTAAAAATTTCATCTGTGTAATTTTTTTTTTTTACTTTAGTTAAATATTAAAATAAATATTTAAACACCCTTTCTCCTTATGCCGGTGACGTCGTGTTTAGTTAACTGTTCGCTTTTATTTTTGAAACGCTTTAGCTGATTACTTCCGGGTTAATTTTCCAGGGCCATCATGGCAAATACAGGTAGATTGACCCTGGATGGTGGAGAAACGATGCGTTATGCTGAATACACTTCAAACTCAAACACCAGGAGCGACGCAGAGATTGACAGACGATTTGTAAGTCTGTTTTTAACATTTCTGGAATTTTTCAAACAACGTAATAGCCTGCGTGACTGTCACAGGCTTGAGCTAGCAGCTAACCTAAGTGACCGCTGCTGTAACTATGTTAATTCTCGCTGGCTGCGGAGCAACTTGTGTTGTATTGAGTTTCGTTCTCCGTAGCAATATGTTAATTTTTTAAGGTAAGAATAAACGAGTGTCGGGATCATATTGTGTCATACCAATCAGTAAAAACATGTTATAACAAGTTTCGTTTTAACATCATTGATGTGGCATAGCAGTAACTGGCAAAATATAGTAGACACAGGTTTGACCATTAAGACGGAAACTTATGTGATTTATATAAATTATTTTTGACAGGGGGGCACTCTGATTGCAGTTGGACTCGGTGTAGCAGCTGCTGGATTTGCAGGTAAGAAACCGCTATGCTAGACGGTGTGTAGGAAATTTAACTTCCAAATTGTTGCATTTCAATGTGGATTTGGTGCTGGGTTTTGTCAAACATTCTGCGTGAGCTTTAACAACTATTTTATTATCATGTTTTCTCTCCTGTCAAATCCGTCCCTACACAGGTCGCTATGCGTTTCAGCTGTGGAAGCCTCTTGGACAGGTCCTCTCAGAGACTGTGAAGAAGATGCCCACATCAGTGAGTAATTAACTTACTCATATGATTTAAGATGAAAACAAATAACCACTGGACAGATTGTAATTCTGATCTATTTTTCACAATTTATTGTCTCCTAATATCAGTGGTATTGGACACAAATATGTTTCAGTCATGTTAATGATAATTTCTGCATTTACACCTATTTGTCTCCTCAGGCTTTCTCAGCTTACTATAAAGGGGGTTTTGAGCAAAAGATGTCCAGACGAGAGGCTTGCCTCGTTCTCGGCATAGGGTAACAAATTATAATGCCCAAGTAATATTTCTGAGCTAAGTAGTTTTTATTTTTCATTTTTGTTAACATTTTTTTTAACTGTCAGCCCAACCAGCACAAAATCCAAGGTCCGTGACGCCCACAGAAGGATTATGGTCTTAAACCATCCAGATAAAGGTAAACAACTCTGAATATTCTCTACATTACAATTAAACCCATATCTTAAAACTTCAAGTCAATGAAAAAATGTCTCTGTATGTTGGGTTGTGTGTGTAGGTGGTTCACCGTACCTCGCTGCTAAGATTAACGAAGCCAAAGACCTTCTGGAAAAAGAGTCCCGACGATGATCACTGCACTGCCAACACTTAAAGACTTCCAGTTCATGCTTGATCTCAGCTCTGAAAAGCACCGACATCAAACCTGGACAAAAATAGGATGACCATGACATTTTAGTTTTTAACAATTTATTTCAGCTGTCTGCTAGTCTTTTTTATTTCCACTCATCCTAAAGTGCTGGTTCCTTACCGGTTCACATCGTGTGGTTGCCCTCCAGTCCTGACCATTGTCCTGGCTTTTTTTTTTTTTATTCCAAACTAGTGAATCTGTTGTGTTAATTAACACAGACCACATAATTGTGTGTTCATAAAATCAATAAATTGTTGATGAGAATATAAAACAGATTTTAAAAAAATGTTGAGAGGGTTAAGATGAGCTCAGTGCTGGGTATTTACTACTTTAGGTCAACACAAACAGCAATCTACAGATTATTCAAGGTGAGAACATAGTTGTGATTCAGTTGTTTGTTTTTTTTAATTTGAGGTTTATTATTCACAAAAGAAAGTTCTTTTGTCTCACAGATGTTTTTTTTTTACAGCGTTCATGCAACACTAGATACTACTCTAGTATCTGGTAAGGTTAGTCCAGGCTCGGCCTGTCCTCATGTCAACTGCTAGCTTGCTTTTGTAGCCTATATATGTCTTTTTTTTAGTCCTTCTGCTGAAAATGTACACTGTTCTCACTTCCTGTGGCCATGCGTGTTCTACTGGAGACACTGAAGGTTCTTTTGAGACACTAAGCTCCTTACTTGTAACCAGAGGCAACAAAGAAGCGAGACACATGTAGGAGGCACAGACTAAAACTTTAGTCTCCATGATGGCAGCATGAAAACTTCACTTTCTTAGGTCATCAAATGGCATGCTGGGAAGAAGAAAGCATTTGTACTAAAAAAGGTTATAATACAGTCAACAATCGTCAAGGATGTTATTAATTTACATGACTTTACATTTGGTTTTTTTACCGAGATAACATTGGTAAGCTGGTTCTACTGGAGCTGGTAGAAGCTAAAACATTAGAGGTTGATGCTCTTCCAGGGCATGTACTTGGTATAACTCTCTGCTTAAAAGGGTAGCAGTAAGAAAACCACATTCAACACGTGAATCCTCCTGATGGGTGGGTAGGCAGCAAGGTTGAAGGTTAATTTAGTGAAGTATGTATAAATAGCAGCAGTTTGTAAATTTACAGCTGCAGAGACAAAACCAACTCACCCATGGCTTTAATGGCTCAGTAACAACAAACTGGAGGTCTCTGTAGAACTTCAAACAGCAGCCTTTAATTCACAAAGAATATTTAAGACTGCCTTAGCAGTCTTGTGTGGACCTTTCTAACTCCTCATCCTGTTGCTCCAACATCACCACCTCCTCATCTCGCTGCTCCTGCTGCTCCACCATTCTCTCTACTTCCTCCTCTTCTTCATCTTGCTCTTCTTTCTCACTCAGTTCCTCTCCAATTACATCCAGCCGGGCCTCGTGCCCATTTAGCCCAACCCCTTCTTCCTCATTATGAAGACCGATTCCCTGCAGCTGCAGCCTGCGCTCTTCCACCAGCAGGAGGCGATCTCTGACACCCTCTGCTGCTGCTGCTGTATCACTGGGACTACCGAAGAACTGTTCGCTCCTGGAAGTAGCAAAAAAAAGAGCTGTAACAGATCATGCAACCAAGGAGCCATTAGCTTATCACACATGAATTTTTGAAATTTATACTACATAGAATTCTCTGACTATCACAAACCATCACATGACACTATTATAAGAAATTTGGAGAGAACTCTGCCATTAAAAAATCCAAAGAAAAATTGAAAAACAAAATAAAACATTGGAAAATGTAATCAGCTTGGTGCTAATAGTAATTAGTGATTTAAACAGTTTAGATTACAAAAAACTTGCATCAACAAAAAACATAGATGGATTCATTAATCGGAATTGGAGTGTTATGATCTAACTTTTCTAAGGTCAGCAAAGGCATCACTGGCTGGCTCATGTTTCTAATGGTAAAGACTGATGTACTTAAAAATCCAGGAATTATTAGTTGAACATTATTGTTCCAAAATTTCATGACCTTATAATACCCTTGGAACAATCCATGCCTAGATGTGACACATTTGCATAGAAAATAGTGGTTGTGTGTGTGTGTACCCATCAGGGAAGACAACAGGCATGGTCAGTCTATCCAAGAGCGTTTTTCCTGAAGAGTCAACTTCATCCAGAGACTCGGCCTCAACACAATCCTGTTGTAACACCTGGACCAAACAAACCACAGGTCACCAGTTTGAATTTGTAACCAAGATTACTTGAGACCCTCCCTGTAGTCTTGTTCCCCAGGACCAGTCTTACCTTCTCTGCTGCAATGTGAAAGTTCAGAGCCAGCTCTAGTCTTTGTTGTCTCTCATCTGCACTGACAGTGAACTGCTTCCACACTCGGTTCAGTCTGGGCAGCGTGTCTCCGGACGAGCGTGTTGTACAGCGCAAAGATTGACAGAGGACGACGGTGGCCTGCAGCAGCTGACGGCCATAATCATAAGTGCTCTGAAAGCAGAAAATGACGACAAAGACACAATATCATTGATGGGTCTGTTTGATGACATTTTTAAATGAAAAACTTTTTGAGATTCATAAGTCTGCTTTCATCCTGTTTGTACATATGCACTCTATTATTGTCCAACTTGAAGAAAGTAGACTAAACCTTTCTCACCTGGGCCACGTCCACAAACTTCCTGTGTTTATCCAGCATGGTCCTTGTCTCTTGAGAGTCATCACCAAGTCTGACATGGGTTTTTAACAGAGCATCCAAAAGCTCACCGAGCCATTCCACTGCCTGAATAAATATAAACACACACCCATATATTGTGTTAGTACTTGGCCAATCAGTGGACACAACACACACTATTTTTCTCTGTGTCTGACCTGTAAAGCATCTTCTTCACATTTGAACAGCTGGACCATCTGTAGCATTTTCAGCCTCCTAACATCAACCATGTCTTCACACCTGGAACACACACAGTCATGCACATTAAATAATGTTAAAAATGTTTTATCTTTTTGTCCAAAAAGTGGTGATTCAGCCTTATCAGAACTTAACCCTCCTGTTACCCTCAAATTTTCAAACAGTTTTTATCCTTGGGGTCAATTTGAGCCCAGCCATTTAAATCTCAAGAAAAAGGATTATAATTCAAAATATTACTTAACTTTTTGTGTCAGGTACTACAGGATTCTTTGTTGTTAACATGTTAAATTGAAGTTTACCCAGTTCCCCTCACTTAATTAGGAAAGGTCACCAAAGATTAAGCAAAAACTTGTACCTTGTGAATTTTGAGATGTTAAACATTGAATGGGGACAAATTGACCCCAAGGATAATAGAGGGTTAAATGTTGCACTTTCATAGAGAAAAAAGTAAATTACCTTTGTTTTCGCAGCTGCATCTCGTCCATCACAGCCTGGATGTGTTGAATGTTGTCTTGTTGTTCTCCAGCTGGACTCTCAGTCTCCTCCATGGACCAGGGAGGCTGGCTACACATCAGCTCCATCAACAATGCCCCCTTCTGACGCAGAGAAGTAAGACCTGCCTCTACACAAAGCAGAAACATCGCACGTTAATACCCATCATTCATGTGAATCAATGTTCTATTTTAAAAATGAATATTTAAAAGATTTTCTTCATCAAGAGCACGGACCAACAGTCTGCAGCTTCTCTTCCAGTAACTTTAGGTTCTGCTGAATGGAAGCTCCATCTGCAGGGGCAACATCTGCACAGAGCATACCCAGTAGGCCATCCAGCTGCTGAGACAACTGCAAAACAGGCAGAGATTTTATCACTTTTTTTATATCTAAATTAAATATACTTAAATGTCTCCTTTTCTCCGAGTTCTCCAAATGACATTTTTGCAAAAATTCATCTGATAACAACACAGGCTTCTATTACGTCATTCACGTCATATCACTAAGTCCATTGTGTGTGTGTGTGTGTGTGCACGTTACCTCCTGTGTGGTGCTGTGAAAACCCTGTGCCGCTTGGAGAACGTTCTGTCTGTTCTCCAGCTGAGCCGCTTGTCGATAGCAGACGTCACTGAGCTGCTGCTGGAGTGCCTTCAGTTCCACCACTTCCTCCTCCTCCCCGGCATTAAGCAAGGCACCGATTTGCTGGTTTAACTCCACGTACACTGCAAACCACTCCTACAGGTGCAAAGGACAAGGGAAAAAGCTAAGGTTTTAATGCTTTTGTTGGATAAATGTAGCAAAACAGAATTTTCTTGTTAATGCATGTGTGCGTATCTGTTTCGGTTTCCTTACACTGTGTTGGCTCTCAATCTCCTCGTGTTTCTGCTGCAGAGCCTGAGCCGCTCGAATCGAGTCTCCGATTGCCTGATGGTTCTTCAACAGTTCTGAGCCCGGGCCCTGCAACCAGGTCACCACCTAAAATGGATAAAAAAAAAATGACTCAATGATTCAATCTTAGCAGCCTGGACAGATCATCAGTCCACTACAGTGTCATACACAGAGACTAGAAATTATTTACACACACTTAGAGATCAGTCATTCCAGTGAACAATTAAACTAATCCTCCAGGTTTCTGACTGGACTTGTTGTGTGATTCTGAGGCTTTTCCCCAAAGTATCATAATACTGATAAATCAAGTGGTTTTATTTAATCCACCTCCAATAAGTCCTTGGCATTGCAATTGTGATGACATTTAGTGACTGAAAAGAACAGGCACTGAGCTACAAGAAGAATTTAAACTATTTAATAATAGTTCAATAAAACTAAATCAGCCAATGATGAAAACACATTCTAAGCCAAAACTCTACAGACCACATTTGGACACATTTATAAGTTTGAAAGGTCCAAGTTTGTGTTGACTTTGAAACATTAATCACAGTAGGACATCTTGAATGTTCTCTCCTGATGGCCAAGCGTCAGAATGATGAAGTGAACTGTTATCAGGTCACTGATAACAGTAAAAGAGCTCAGTGCAAAAGTAGGCCACCGGCATCACCGCCTCCTCAAATCCTCCAGGCTAGTGACCAATACGATGAAATTACCATGGCAACCCTGGGCTCATTTCCAAGACGTTATGTATCCCATCAACCCCTGCGAATGTATGAACCTACTTGATAACAGAAGTTTCTTCTAATGCTACTCAGAGCTGTATAACAACTGAGAACAATATCCAGAGAAAGGTGTGTGTGATGATGTCACTGTTTTTACCTGCATGACCTTGGTGTGAATCTCCTCCAACTGGTTGCGTTTGTTTCGCAGCCTGCAGAGCTCCTGATATCTGGTGTACTGCTCTCTCAGGGAGTCTAGCAGCTTCATCACCTGAGGCTGAGCCAGCAGCTCCTCCTCCATGGGACACCATGCAGGACCTGCAGGTCAGGAGGAAGCAGGGAAGACATTAGACGTTGGAGACATTTCTCTTTTCTCTGCAAATCTCATATAGACCATACAGACTTTTTTTTTTACAACCTTGTCTTCAGGCCTACCTGCAGACTGAATTAATGAGCAGTCATAAACACGTCTGTGTGGTCAGACCCACTGAACAATCACCAAAAGCAACATGGAAATACACCATTAAAAGCAATCACTATATTCTGAGAACTACAGCAGGTGCAGAGAAAAGGAAAGACTATGTCAAGGCCAACAGCTGCTTTATACGTCTCATGGATATAAAGAGCCATTGTGTGTGAAGGGAATAAAGCAAATACAACAGGTACAACCTGTTGAATTCCCACAGGAAGGAAGTTGTCTGAACTTGGTAATGTTACGAACAGTTACCGGCAAGGATTTTCAGAAAGGAAAGTATTGCTTTTACAGAAAATTTTTTGGATCAGTTTTTCTGTTTTGGCAACAAAAAGACTACTGTCTGCAATTCCTTTGACTTTTCTATCTTTATTTTATCTTTTATTTAGTTTTTCAGCAATTTTGCATAGACTTTAAGCTCTTGTAGTCTATCCAAAGCCGTTTTGGCTTATTTGATTTTTATGATTTGGATGACATATATATATATAAAAATTTTATTTTATTAATTATTTTGATTGTCTTTATTACACAAGGCTTTAAGCCTTTGTGTTAACTTGCTTTCTGCAGGTGAGTGCACATGGAAGCAGAGCTGGATGTTTTTCACTACACACAGCCACCAAAAGCCCTCGTCATGTGAATTTCAAGGCCAACTACAGTCATTTTACACAGAGCCCTGCTAGTTCCTGTCTCTGCTGTGGATTTTCACACTCCACTTCATACACAGCGCACTAGAGCAGCTCAATGACTGCATTCAGAAACACTTCAGGCATCTGTCAGTGCTAAACCAGGACAGTCACTTCTCACCTCCTTGTCCTCCTCCTCCTTCCGACCCATTAAAGCGTCGCTGCTGCAGCTCCGACAGCAGCTCGTGGCCTGCACATGGACAAAAGGGAGACGGGGTTTGGTTTGTGAGTCAAGAGCCTGTTATAAAAGCATCTGAAACAATCAGGCGTCAGTGTTTGTCTTCATGCCGTTACACTATGAAAGACACTGGTAGAGGGAGGAGGGTGGTACCACAGACAAAGAGTCTTTTCACCTCTGACCCACCAGCCCACAGCCACAGCCTGGTCAGTGGTACAATGAAACAAACCAGCAGCTGCAATGCTTACATATATTTATATTTATATTGATGAATAAGCATCTTTAGTCATGGTTTTGGTTATAATTATAACATTCAGGAAATACAGTATGTGTTGACTTATAGATTGCTGAATTGTTTCGATTTAATCTGACAATATTTAAAACTACCACCACACTTCCCAGATGTGATTTATGTTGGACACACAATAGCTACCTGTCTGAAGAACAGTCTCAGGGTCGAAGGAGGGCAACAGGGCACATTCGGCTGATCTGCGGATAAAAAGACAGAAAGCTCAGGATTACATCTGTCCAACTTCCATATGCTTTAGAAATGGGCATTGTGCATAAATGCAGGCATACATACTTGTCTTTGTCCACTGAGCCACTCATATCACTGTCATTGATGATTGAAAGTTCACCCAGTAGTGACGTCGACTCCTTGGTGAACTTCTCAAATACCTACAACAGGAAAAATCATAACAAAATGCTGAAGTTTAGAGCCAAGCTGTAACGTCAAGTGTTTGGAGTAAAGCGATAAAATTTCATGCTGACCAGTCTCTTGTTGAGCCAGTCATTGTGGTCGTAGTCTAGACTTCCTCCAAAATCATCTGTTAGCTGACAGGGCTCAATGTAACGAGTCAGCTTATTGGCTGAGACCAGAATCACCTGAAGGAAAACACACATACATCTGTGTAGTCACAATATTGTTAGAATGGTAGGGCTGTCAGATGTATACAATTAATCATGATTAATCACGATAAATAAACATTTTCTAAATATGACAATAAATATAAGTAGAATACAAAAACACTGCAATTCCATGTAAATTTGAATTTTATGTAATTCATGAAATGTTTTTTCAGTAATTTTTCAAGTACCTAGAAAATGCATTTTCAATTTACGAAACCTTTCATTACTGTTTATCTTGACTATGGCTGGTAGAATGCGTTGAGAGTTATTTTCCAAACTTTAGTGAAGCCTTTTCCAAAGGGACAAAGCCAAAAGAAAAAGAAAAAGTGAAGCCTTTTCCTCAATAACATTCACTCAGTCTACAGTCTCCTCACAATCCATTGTGACAACTGTGTCTGTCAGTTGAAACTTATTTACAGCCCTGCACCAGTGAGGCCGCTCTGACATAAGACAGGCATCGGACCTGTTGAAGCCCCTAGACACACATTATGGGCTTTGAAATAGTATTTTAAGCTCAAGGTGCTTGGGTGAAACAAGAACTTTTTCCTGATCACCTGACCAGATAACATGTATATTGAATGTGTATTATGTTAAACTGATGGAACTTTGCCACTGATTTTGACAGCCCTATAAAAATAAAATTAACATTTCCACTCACATATTTCATTCACATGTGCCATAAATCCTGTATACTAGATTGAAGACCCATACTGTGACGCTCTATTTTAACCACATAAGTTACATTTGAGTCCTGTGTTGGCTGTGGATGTGTCAGGAGAAGTTGACACTAACCAAAAGGTCAGTTGTTTCAGTCTTAGCTCTTTCATCAATAAATAATGTACCGGAACAGTAGGTTTCTTGAGAGAGGAACATCTTCACATTCAAACAAAGGTTGTTTTTTTTTCTACAAATCTTCAACCCTTCTTTGTTTCAAAGAAATCCAAACTGCCAGGAGACATCTAGTCTAAAACCCCTCCTCAACAAATAACTAAAATGCCACTACATCTGTCCTTCACAAATAAAGATATGCATTAATGCCTGGAAGCCACAGTTGGTCACTACTAAAGGCAGCTTAGCTGTAGGTGTGGCAATAGCATAAATACTTTAACTGACCTCGTACTGGCCAAGAAAGAACACATTTACTATCTCAATATTTTTCCATGAGTCTCTCCAAGCTTTTCCAGACTTGGGAGAAGACTTCAGTCTCCATTTACTCATCATTTTTTTAAAAAAGAAGATTTTTGTCTGTGTAAACACTATACTATGGTTATATAACAAAGAGCTCATAAGACTGCTTTACAAATAAACCAGGAGAGCCAGACAGCTGGTAGTGAGCCTGCCTCTCAGTTGTCACAGCAGCAGATGTTTTTAGATGAATTCAGCGTGTGTGTGTGTGAGACTTCAGAGCAGCTGTATGACACACGCCTTACAAACTCCACAGCCAAAATGAGTCACATTTCATCTCAATGGAATCTCCCTCCTCTGAAAGGTGGACCATAGCACAGCCACAAATTTTTCAGGTTGAAAAACAACAAAAGCTTAGGTGATATATGTGGGGACTTTTTTATTAGTTTGTTTTTAGACAGACAGACAGATAGATAGATGCATCCAATGTTTTTAATTTATTTAATTATAAGTTCTAGCAACAGTTGGACAACTTTTACTTCTTTTTAGTTATTTTGTCTTTTTCATAACCACTACATTTTGTTAGAATTTTCACTACCTTTGATATACAGTATGTGGCAGTTTGAATTCAGAGCCAAATGTCACTTTTATACATTGAGTGTGGCAGGGAAACCCAAGCAGGACATTTTTCACTGAAATGTCCATTAAATTTCAGGCAATAGAAACTCCATTCATGGAGACATTTCACATATAAACAGCATTTTTGCCCAAGTTTTTGTCAATTTCTTTCACATTTTGAAACAACAAAAGTTCATTTTTTTTGTAACTTTACTTTATCTACATCAGGTGAGACAAAGGTGCTGTTGTTAGTAGAAATCTGCTACCCAGAATTAGTGTCCTTATAAGCACCAACAGGAAGATCCTGTCTCAGCACAAATCTAATCTAAACCGTGATGTGATTATGCACGAGCGGCGACATTTATTTACTGTGCACGGGTCCACTAATTCTTACCATTGCAGTGGACGACGAAATCTGGGTCATAGCAAAACTGATTCCTCTTTGTTAAAACCATCTGCCATAGTACAACGTTTTCAATCTCTTTGTCAGACAGATAGAAACACACACACACACACCAACACACACTGTCCCTGGCTCAGGTTTCGAGTAGCACTCAGAACAGTTAATGATGCTTAGGGATATTAAATTTGTCTGGACTTGGTATCAGATAGCAACACAAAGACTGAGGATGTACTGTGCGTGTGTGTGAGCGTGTGTTTAACCATGATATATGTCCACAACAACAGGCCTCCTGTCTGATCTAGAAAGAGATACTGTACTATGATTTACACATCAAACATCAATAACTTCTTTTTCACAGCACTCGTTCTTCAACAATCACACAAGCCAAGAAACACTGGTGCCATGGCACATGATATGAATCAACCAATCAAAAGATTAAAATCGAAGCAGACTGGTGTGAGAAAAAGAAACACAACACACAAACACACACACAAAGTCATAGCTTTTAGTTCTGAAGTAAACTGACCTCAAATCCAAGGCGGTCTTTCTCCTTCCAGAAACAGAAGTGTGTAACCTTTTTATCCCAGAACTCGTCTGGCTTTACCACACAGACCAGTGAAACCTCGGCTGGGATCACGTTCTGAAAAAACATCACCGGCGTCATGAGCACATATTGGCTTAATGTAAGGGATGTTTTACCATAGTAAAAAGCCTGAAAGCAGCATCGGGTGTGTTTGTACCTGTAACATGAGAACCACAGTTTTCACAATGTTCCACTGAGACTTTCGTCCGTCTACGATAACAGTGAAACCCCGAGCCTTGCACTTCTCACTGGAAAAAAAGGAAAAATATAAAGAGGGTTTTTTTTTTCCCAGAATCAAAAAGCAATTCACTTCATTTTTACTTGCTTTAAACCTCTCCTACTCCTTATAACTCAAAGCATTTGCATCTCAACAAATACATTTGTGGTTATGCCGTTTTATGGCAGTTGACATCAACAACGTAACATTACTGCCTTCTTCTGCATTTAATTATAACTTACTTACATTTCAGCTTCCCGACTTTCCTTTTCCACACTCAAATAAACCCTCTCTAAATGTGTTTTCATGGAAAGCATGCAGTAATCTCACTGCTCTCAGTCTGCTCATGTTGTAATAAACTGGAATCAACCTTAAACCACTTTTCAATAACAGGCCTGAACTTGAGTTCTGTCACTAGAGCCAAAGATCCATGTGGCAACTCTGTGACAACCTGTTTCTAAATAAGTTCAATGCAGTCACTTGTACTGTTACCACGAGGTTATTTAAATGTGTACGTTGCGTTGGGGGGCTTACCTGGGGATGCTGAGCAGATAGTCTAACGTTGCACTGAGCTCCTCCATGCTAGTCTGATCTGAACTCAGAGGGATAGTCAGGATCAGACCACTACGCCTATCTTTGCCTCCTGATTCGGCACAAATGATCAGACAGGGTATTAATGATCAAATACTTGACATTCATGTTCTGATCTGCATTTATTAGTGTGTCTTTCTACCTGACAAAAAGGCCAGTTTCTTCTTGAGGACTGGGAGGATGCCAGTTGCTTCCATGGTTATGTTTGACATCTGCAGAAACACAAACAACACTTTACAGCCAACCTAAAATAAAACTCAATATGAAATGGGACAATTCTAATTTTCTTATCTAAGTAAATGCAGTTGTAAAGGCAGTGTACAATGAAAGTACACAAGCAAGTACAGAAGTTGTACATAGGTTTAGAACCTAGATATAGATCAGTTCTCATGTCAGATATAAGAGATACAGAAACTAACGCCAAGAGTTTGTGAGAAGAGTCCCAAACGTAGTAACTTCAGGTCAGGACTTGACCAGGCTAAGACAAAAGTACAGAAGTTAAGAGAGTTGCATATGTGCTCAGGAAAAAAACCCTCTTCAATAGACTGAGGTATCAAGACTCAGATACATACACAGGTACACAGAGCCAAATACTACTTTTGTCTGGTGTAGACAGGACAAACACAAGCTAAAACTCAAGTACATAGACCCCGGGAAAATATTTACAAAAAGGTTCAGAGCCAGCACTCGGAAACAAGTACACTAGTTCACACGGTTGAATCAGATGGGCCCTGTGCTGCTTATTTAACTTTATTTAAAAAATCACAGTGTGAGGCAAAATGTACAACAGATATCTTCAACTGTGACAGATTATTAGGAACATACTTTTAAATTACATAGGAATATAATAAGGAATATTGAGGAATATTATTATGGCAGGAATATTAGTATGGCAGTTAAAGTACTGCCATACTGTCATTAACATTTATGAACAATTCCAACCAAAAGTGCCAGTCTTGGTTACTGCATTTGACTTTAGTGTACTGTACCCCTTACCCATGCTTACTGTATTGGGGTTGCCAGGACTGCAAGAAAGTTAATGAAATGTTAGGAATCCGAAATAATATCCAATAGCAGTTGATGTGTAGTTGACACACAAATCTGATCAAACCACACCCGCACTGGGGAGATTACTTGAGCATTTTAAAATAAATTATATTCTTTCTTCCCATTAAAGTTCTAACGTTTGCTTTCACTCATCCAGTAGAGAAAAGAAAACAGGTCTTGCTGTCTGGGACGTTAACACGTAGATAACTAACTACAATACAGCAACTGTAACCGTGAATTTGGTCTTTCGGGCTGAGCATCTCTTCAGAGAATTACTGTAAAACGAACACTTCCATTATTAATATTGGGATTGGGGTTATTCTGCAGCTATTGTTATCCCGGGACCTACAACAGTCGTGTTTACCAGTGCTGCACCAAATCCTGCAGCGTGGTTTTCTAGCTTTATCTTCTTCGTTTTCTTCCTCCTCTCTCTCAGCGTGTCTGCGGCCTGACTGCAACCGCAGGACGGCCCAGCTCGGCTCGCCTCGGCTTGGTTCGTCTTGGCCCACAGACACAATGACCTACATTCAGCAGATCTCAGTGCTGCGGCTCCTGCGGCTTTAACCTTCCTTACCCCCCAGACTCGAGAACAATACACTTTCGATAACCAAAGTATCGATCAGCATTAGGGATTATTCAGTGGGGTTTTCTTACCTTGCAGTCAAATCCAAAGCATTATGCTGTGTCCCCGATTTTTCCAGTCCCACTCCTTTCAGTCTTTCCTCCTCCGTTCCCTCTTCCTTTTAGCGCCTCCCTTCTAGCTCTTCTCCTCTTGGATTATCCACAGATTTACAAATGTCCCTTAAAATAAAATAAAATAATGGTATGATCGTTAGTTCCTTCACTGTTTGTTTTAACAACACTGGAACTACGGAGAACAGGCGGTGGAGCTCACTGCTCTCCGCTTCTCTGCAGCTACTATAAAGTTAGAAGTAATGACGCCACATCCGGGGACGCCACTATGAAAGTAAAATACAACAATGGCCTAACCTGCTGTCGAAGTTGCATAACGATAAACTAAGTCGCATTTAAATAATCACTTTAACTGGGTGCTGTCGATCCAAGTACCGTATTATTTTATGTTAGCAGCATATGACATTTGTCTATGACACTTGAAATGTCCATAGCTACTCTGTTCTTAAGGTGAAACCGTAGAGCAGACCGGAGGTCGTTTAAATACTCTAGACTAGAAACAGATATGAGACTTTTATTCTATGACTGAGTCGCAAAAAAGTGAAAAAAAAAGGTTAATTTACTATATTTAGATGGCTGACTCTTGATGTAAAACAACAGGTTCTCATTCGGAGTCCTGTCTCATTGAGTCCCAAGTTCAGATGACTGTCCGTTTATAAAATCAAATATTCGTTTTTTTTATCCCTGTACAAAATGATTAAAAAAACGTATAAATTGTTATACTATTTCGTTTGTAGTCACAAGCTCACTGCGCACATATAACCCATTCATTTTTCTCCCTGTTCACTTGTTCCTGTTACCAACCTTTCAGCACAAGAGCATGTTACCACGGGTAAGCGTCACTAAGGTAACAGCTGATGTGTGCTTCGCAATTTTCTGTCACTAGAGGTCAGCATACCCATATATTTTCCAAATCCACATTGCAAAAGCACCACTTTATCTATTAATAGTGTTACGTACACTGCCATTCAACTTTCATTAATTATAATATAAAATGAAGGAATTGTGCTATTCTGGTTCAGTTTTCTTTTGTCATCAAAAATAAAATGCCTGACACCCCTTGCGTCGTCTTTACGGTACCCTACATTATATAGTTCTTTAATGATATAATGTATTACAATGCTAACAAATATCCTGATCGCACAAATAATAGTTCAGGGAACAGGGCACCAGACACTACTTTTTCTAAGATGTGCTGATGACTAAGTGAGTCATACATGGTTTGACAGGAACAGTATGCAGTTTGGTGCTGGAAGGCTTCACCTGATGCAAACCATTCAGATGTACTGTATATATAAAGCCATTAGCCACAGAAAAGGCATTCAGACCCCACAGAAATGGAATTTGAGAATGCAACACATGCGTGTAAACAGCATGTTTTTTGCAGCCTGTTGTTTATATATATATATGTGTATACTGTGTATATATATACACACACAATGCTAATGCTAATGTCGCTAGGGTAACATATTCTTAAACTATTTCTTTTTGCAGCCTGTTCTATAGTGTGTTTCTGATGTAGTACAAAACAATATTTGATTGAACATTGTTACTACTTACACTTTATGTACTTGAGTTTCCTTGTTATCTTCATTGTGCGAGTTGTTCTTTGTGTGAGAGAGGCAGAAAAAGGGCAAACACTAAAGCAGTCATAAGACGAGCAGCTGTGCTCTTTTTAAACAACATTTGCCCCTTAAATAGTCCAAAAAACAAAAAAACATAAAACAACCGAAATGAATTCTGCTAAGCCCAGTCGACAAACACCTCTGTGTCTGTTAACATGCAATGTGATGTTAATGTCCTTATCTTGTATGTAAATAGGCAAATGGGTAAAGAAGGGAAACACAACACATCCCCACTTCCTACTATCGAAAAAGACTGACTCCAAGTTAAACCATTGACCATTCTGACCGAACAGTAACTGATATTTTGAAATTTAATTTATTCTCTAGCTTATTTGTAAAACCTTGAGTAAATCTGTATAACTCAGTGTTTGATTGGCAAAAAACTGATTTTTTTATTTTAAAATATATTGTCTGAAAAACAGCCGACTACATTTAATTTACAAAAATGACAGCAAATCAATTTGCTGTACTTTTTTACCTCACCACATCATATTGCATGATACTTTATTGTATCATAAATTATTTCCCTTTATAAATAAATACTTACGCAAAGTAATGTCCTCTGGTAATTGTCCATTTCCCTGTTGATGTTGGTAGTGTTTAACAAATATTTACGTTACAGGTTAGTTATTTATCGATATTTTGATTCATGTCCAGAACAAAAATCAAATTGGAAGAAATGTACAAACACGCTATGAATTGTTATTGATTTTTTTATGAAGTTGTTATATTACTTTTATCCTAATATTATAATGTTGCAATTTAGATCAATACATTTTTCCGATTTTTTTTGTTTTTGTAGTTATTCTACACATAAGACTTCACGGATTTATTCTCCTTGGATACAAATTCTCGATCTCCGACAGAAAGGTTGATAAAGTTAGTATTGAAGAAGATTCAGCCCACAGCGTGCGTGGGTGTGTGAGCTCTATCCAGCTGTGACTGCGGACCCGCCCATCCATCGAATACGCCCGGGGGTCGTGAGGATGTGGATTGACCAGGCTGTCCGCCAATGAAAAGGCAGCACCGAGTGACTCACCCTCTGCCTGTTTCCAATGGCAGCACGGTGGAGAGGCGGACCGCAGGAAGCACACTTGGTTGAATGACCGTTAAAGCTGCAATCAGTGATAAATATGTTACGATACCATGCTCCAAACAGGCACCCAGCTTAGGGTAAGCGGCTGCGGGAGCGCACTTGTACCGGGTAGACGCGTCCTCTCGACCGCTTGCTCCTGTGCTTCTGCTCTCTGCTGGTTTTCTCCGCGCTTAGTGTGGATACAAAAATTAAATAAGAACTCACTCTGTGGGGTAATTGGACAGTGATGGACAGAAGCTGGACATCGACTCAGCTCAGATGTTGAAGGTAAACTGATCTGACTGGTACATTGGACTATACTATGAAGACAGGAGCCTCGGTTTGCGGCTGTTGCTGCAGGAGCAGAAGGAGGAGGAGGAGCGGCTGAGTTTTTTATCCTCCGCTCCGATCAGCGCAAGTGTTTGGGGAATCGTGATGATGCTTTTTGGCCAAACCTGAGGCTCCCACCTCTTTCTAGGGTGCAATGTTTGTTCAATACAGGCGAATACAGAGCTGACTGGACCAACTAACAGCTGACAACACGAGGTATGCTGGTTTTTACCGTCTCTTTGGACACGGATTGTCCACGATCTCCCAGGAAACATGTCTGCGGATATAACGGAATCACCTCGTGATTGATGCTGCTGTAAGATGATCTCCAGGGAGGATCTCATTTGTGAAATGTTTTTCTTTTACTACCAACTACATCGCCAGCTGCTGTGCAACCCCTCCATGGATGGTAGTTAATTGGGCCCAACAATGTGGAGGCAAATCCTCCTGGAGCCAATGTTCCTTCTTTTCTGCGAAGCTGGCTCCCTTGTGACTTTTGTGCATGTTCAATAGTTTTTCTTTATTCCCAGAGCTTTTATTACTTCTGGTAATTGTTTTTGGATGATTCATTTTCTTTTTTAATGTTTTGTATAAGATTTGAAAAGTCTTTAAAATTTAAATAGACGTGCTTTGATCAATACAGACCAAAATGGGAGATTCATTTTATTCCGGGCGATTGATGGATTAAACAAGTTCCTGACAGCATCTGTCAGTGGACCAAAACGAACCACTGACCGTGCAGTTCCCTCCTGTTCTGCATCATGTCCAGATCCAACAGTGTCAGCCCACCCGGAGTTGGTGCGCCTGGCTTAAGGGGAGGGACCGAGCACAGATCTGCATGGGGAGAGTCTGAGTCTGTGGTCAACGGGTGCCCATACTCCACCAGGTCCCCACGCAGGAAGCTCACCCGGACTAACAGTCGGTGGAGAGATGAGGATGATCTGGACCACCGACACCCCGGACGAGCCCCCACCACCGTCAGCAGGGTCAGTTTTAGGTCCAGATCAGCCTGGCAGGACCAGGGAGAGGACAACCGAGAACGTGCGTCTCCTAAACATCCAGATGACGAGGTGAGACCCAAGTCTGTGGAGCTGGGTCTGGAGGAGCGCAGGGGCAAGTCCAGGACTAATGAGGAGGAGGTCATGCCTGATGTGAACTTTTCTTTAGTGGCGTGCTGCACCGGCGTCATGCACATTTTTAAATCCAAGAAATTCCAATCTGAAAAGTTGGAGCGGCTGTACCAGCGCTACTTTTTCCGTCTGAACCAGAGCAGTTTGACCATGTTGATGGCGGTGCTGGTGCTGGTCTTCACCGTTATGTTGGGCTTTCACTGCTCCGGGGGCTCAGCCAGGCCCAGTGTAACATACGTGGTGGTATTTTCTGTTGCCATTTTCCTCACCCTCACACTCATGGTGGTCTGCAACAGGAATGGCTTTCATCAGGACCATATGTGGATTGTGTGCTATGTGGTCATCCTGTTGGTACTGATGGTTCAGGTGATTGGAGTGCTGCTCGTGCAACCCCGAGGTGCCACTGAGGGCATCTGGTGGACCGTGTTCTTCATCCATGTCATCTACACTCTGCTGCCTGTCAGGATGCGCGCCGCTGTCATCACTGGGATTATTCTATCTTCCATTCACGTAGCAGTTTCCTGGATATTAAACGGCATGGATGCTTTTCTGTGGAAACAGGTATGTGAAAAAAACCCCAAAACTTGTTGTAGTTTGTTGTTTCAGGTTTAAAATGTCCTGGTTCTTTTACACCCACACAGGTGTAATTTAGCACAATATGTCCACGTTCTGCTGCTTTTTCAAAAACTAGTTTATAATAATGTCAGACATTTTATGGTTCCTGGTTATGTGTTTCTCTGTAAGATGCCAAACTGTCAGAACAAAGCATAAGAAAGAAGAGTGACCAAAATCATAACAAAAAACATTTGGGCATTTGGACAAAAGTAGTAGTTTTTGCATCAGCTTGAACTCTATTTAGGCCAGAGAATCGGGGCCTCCATGAGGATTAAGTTTGTTATTGAAATAGAAAACAGTCTTTCTAGCCTCTGTGGATAACATGTTACACATGCCCCAGGCACAACCTGTAACCCCAATTACACAACAGTGCAGGAGACAGACGTAAAAGAGTGTGGAAAGATGTGAGGTTTTACATTTAATTAAATTAAAAATGTCTCTCCATGGTGTCAGTTCTGTGAAAGCAGGAGTAATGATTGTGTAGTCCAGTGGTTCTCAAACTGTGGCACACGTACCACCAGTGGTACGTGGGGAAAATTCATATTTTCACATTTTACATTTTCAGTTGAATAAATCTGAAACATAACATGCACAATTAATACAGCATTTAATATAAATACATCTAAAAACATCTTTATAAACATTTACACTTAAGAACACTTAATGTAAGGAGTTGGTGTCAATACATTAGATTTCAGAGCATCTGAATGGGTAAAACGTAAATAAATTTCCCATCATACATACTGTATCAAAGTCCAGTAACAAATGCCTGCAGTAAGTATTTTCCACCACATATTAAAGTACTTAATAACCTAATTGAACTGGTGATTTTCACACAAACCCTTCACCATGAGAAGTACTGTACCCACTGGTTTTTACATAAGCCACAGCTGGATTGACTCGCTCCACTGTTCAGACAACCAGGAGGTGTGACACAAGTGCGTTTAATAGTCATACTGTGCTTAACACTTCATCCCAGATAAAAAGTAATCATTAAAGGGGTGACTCAGTACTGAAGAAAACTCAATATTTCACAGACCCACCTCATTACCCAGGCCTCTGAGCACACACCAGAAATGAATTTGTAATGAAACAAAGGGGAAGCTGCAGCTAAAAACTAAAACTGTGGGATAAATCTGTTTAAAGAGTGACAGAAAAGTTTTTTTGCCTTCAGCTGTGAAAACACTGATTTCAGATTAGTTGTTTCACGTCACCTCATCTTATAAGTATTGAGTTTTAATGTATCTAACCCCTCACAATTGTTTTTTTTAAACAATTTTACTTTTATTTAAAATGTTTATTTTTTGTGTGAAATGTTTCGTAAAGGTGCCTGACGAAAATATATCCTTTATAATTGTCCCACAAATGACCACGTCGCACACAATATTTCTCTAAAATTGCGCTGATGTGTGTGAATTGCTGTAACTTCTGTGCATACCTTTAACGTCATTACTGAGGACGTTCAGTCAGTGCACTGCTTTTACCCTGCTCCGTGTTGCTCGTATACATATTTCTGTCACAATGCAGCTCTTACACTTAGATATACTTAATGATTTAGTATTGTGTGCTAATGGATCTCTCACTATGAACTTTGCTCCTTTAAGTGATGTAGCTGGCCGTGGACATCTTGTCTTTACGAGGCCTAACTTGTTTGTAGTTGAAGAAAAAAAAGACATTTTTTTCCCACAGATGCAGAAGTAGAGACAGGAAACAAGAAGATGCATTATTTTATAAATTACATAATTAGAATAGTGCAGAGAAATTGACTCCTACACCCTTAGCATTAGCTGCTTCTTGAGATATGTGTTAAAATGTGCAAAGAATGTGTTGGAGGCCAGATATGTTTTTTTTAATTCTTTTTGTTTCTTCAAGGAAATGAGTGTTTGCTTTTTCAAATAAGCAGAAAAAAAACCCTCAGGCTAGAAGTTAGGTTTCTGTGTGACTGACATGTGACCCTCCATCTATTTGTAGTTTTTCCTGAGAGTCACATTGTCATTGGATGTGTTGATGTGAGTGTGTGGGAACGAGCTGCTGTATTTGTTGTTCTTTTCTCACCCTGCTGTTGTTTTTAGCATATCTTTTCTGTCCTGCTTACATAAAACCAGCTCTTTGCTGAGTCGGACCACTGCTGTTGATGTGAGATCCCAGGATAATGACATTTTGCACAGTATGTTTTTCCAATGTAGCCTCATTTCACCTTAAAACTGTTGACTGGTCTTTGCTTTGTACTCTAATGCTAACCAAAGCAAAAATCATGCTAACTAAGAGTAGATGCTGGAGCAATGGTGGACAGAATCCTTAATTGCTGTAGGGTCAACTTGGATTTGATCCCATACTGGTACTGTTCTGGTCTGCTCTAGAATCTGTGATTATTGGAACCTCATTGCTTCCACTTACTTTTGTTTTTTATAAAATGTAATTACTTCCCACTTTTATTGAAATTATTGTGCATACATCAGATCTGCTGCAACAGATTGCCACTTGGAGGCGTTAAGTATGTGGCTGACTTAATGAATGAAATTCTATGATTTGACATTAGCAGTATAGGTAAGCACTTTCCCATGAACTCCCCCTCTGTATGAATGTTGTTCTGGGAGATCTTTCTTGGAATTTGAAAGCTGTTTTAGAATTGTTGTCCAGAATACTAACACAGCTGAAAGGCAGGCCAGTTCTTTCTGGACTTTTGTCTTTAACTACCGCTTTCTCTTCTTCTTCTGAGACGTCAAGTCAATGACAACTTTCCTTAAGCTACGAGATTAAAGCAAGGCCTATGTTGGATCTCTACTGAGGCTCCTAGATGCTATGTCAAATCTAAGGAAAGTTTGAGACATTTTCATCTATTATTGAGTGGTTTGGGCCTTTCCATTGCACATTGACCTTTCTCCTGTGTGAGATGGTCATTTTATTGCCAAGTCAAACTCCCAACAGGTGTAAAGTTGTATTGTCTTAGCAGTGGATTGATTGAATCTGGTAAACGGAATTCTACGTTACAATATTTTTTTTCTAGGCAGCCTTAACTGATGCGGCTTTCGGGGACGTAGATGCAAATTTTCATTTCCATAATTCATTTCCATAATTTGGGAGATTTAGTTAGCAGAATTAAACGCTACGACCAACATTTTTACATTTGGAGCTGCACTTCCTCCTTCCAACCTCTTTAGGATCAGATTCATGTGGAACTGTTTTATGCAAGTTGCGACAGGACCCTGTTTTACCTCATATTTATGATTCGTTGAGGTTTAGCGGCTTTCTTACAGGAAGATAACTTCATTCTTTGAGTTACTGTTTCCTGGGAGTGTTTGGTTAAAAGAAAAAAAGCTGCTTCCCCTTTCCATTTTCCAAGATGTAACATATAAGCACAACAGTCCTGGCTGGAAGGATTCTAGTTTAACCCTGTCTACTTGTAATGAATGCTTTTAATTTTTCATTATGACTAAATGTCCGGTCCATATCTTGCAACGTAGTAACAAATTCTGGCCTGCCTTAAGATTCACTCAGCACATTTAGTTCAGTTTAGTTTGAACTCAGTCTTAACCTTTCCTGTTGTGTTTTGACAGTTTGACTGTTATTAGCCAACATTTAGCTACTTATCTTTTTCCTTAATCCAAAATTAACCGTAACCAAAATTTCTTGGCTATATCTAAGCCAGAGAGGAGATTTAGAGCAATTTCCAAAGGAACACAATATTGAGGCAATTTTTCAAATCTCTTCATTTTCCATTCATTCTTTATCTTGCCCCCATTAGGTCAACTGTGAGGTAAAATGCCACATGCTAAATTACACGTTATTCTGTCACAACTACAAAAGGAACTTAAAGTGATTATTACCATCGTATGTAGCTGCCATCGAATATACATTTCACACATTATTAACTTCAATCAACATCTAACATGGTGAGAGGTATGAACAGTGAATCTAAGACAGATGAATAATTTCCATTTGTGTTCCGTCTGTGCAGAACAGTGCACCACTCAGCTGCTCTGCCTCATTGCTTCATCATTCTAATCTGACGTTCATTAACTTTAATTAGTTTTTTGCGCTACGAAGAAATTCAGATTCAACTGTGATTATTATTTGCAGAGGGACTGAAAGAATAATTATGATCTGCATCTCTGGAAACTATTGATCTAATGAGAGCTTGTTTTTTAATAAAGTGCTTGTCTGACTGCCACAGAAGACCTGGTCAGTATTCTGGCCTTGTTGTTATAGGGGTAAAGAAATACTGTTATTACTAATTAATCTGATTTTGGGCATGTCATCCTAGGCAGTAATTACACTGTCTCTTCATGCTGTCACTGCTTCATGTTGTCTTCTGTGATTTTAGTCCCTGATTAATAAAGTGGTGGATCCTTAGCACAAACGTTGGTGTGATTTGAGTGAAGTTGGAAAGGGTGTCATCATCAGTACTCACATTAAAAGTACTGTAGTCCTTACCACTGAACGTGTGTGTGTGTGTGTGTGTGTGTGTGTGTGTGTGTGCTGTTAGTGGTTAACTGTGTGTTTGCATATTAATATTGGATGTAAAAAAAAACCCACACAAACTAAGTATCATTAAAATCCATGGCATTACTTGAAACAACTAATACTTTTCAAACATATAACATGGAACCATCCACATCTTGTACATTGTTTTTGGATTTTCATCACATTGCTGTTGCTTGGCAACCTTTCCATCCAGTATTTATAATACAGAAATAGTATCTTCTTACACGTTTTAGTTCCAAAGAAACAGTTATTTCTGGTGAACATCACTGTTATATGTTGGGGACATATGACAGTGACAGCATTATTTTGTCACCTTGTGGAGTCAGAAGAGTAGACAAAGTGAAGGAGGACATTAATGTGTTGCTGTATTAGGTGGAGAGTCAGAACATAATGTGAGATAAAGGCAGATGATCCACTGTGGTGACCCCTGAGAGAAGCAGCTGACATGAGGAGGAGAATTT